TAATTTTTTTTTTTAATCAGTGCTATTTCCTAAAATCACTTTTTCTTTCCATTTACTAGGTGTTTATACAAGTGAGACAATGAAGTCACATAAAGGCCTACAAGTGCTAAACGCATTTTTCTCTCTCCTCAATAATTTGAGATAGTCCCTCTTCAATTTGTTTCATCTGCTGGACTATATGACATTTAGACACAGAGGCAACAGGAAACTTTGGTTTCTTCTGAATGCTTGGTATCTATTTAGCTAGCTTAACAGTATGACTGCTTTGTTTTCATCTAATGGACAGTACTCAGGATAAAGTCTTGGTGAGTTGGATCTGGGATGGTTTGCCTGTAAATTAAAATTGTGATAAATCAATTTATTTCAGAAAAATGTAAAATTGGTGTTGTGCTTTTTGGAGTGTATAACTGCTGCCAAAGCCTAATGTCAGCAATGTTGACCTTGTTTGGCCTTGGTAGATAGTGTAGATAGAGTTTGAAAGTGATGATCTGTCTCTAGAATTTGAAGAGGTGTAAAATATTAATATGTTATAAAATGTTCTGAGCATATGTAAACATATTTTGCACCAGGCACCCAAGCACTCCGATCAGCATTCATGCACTTCCATTATTCAAGTTTCTTTTCACAATCTGGCAATATATGAAAGGTTAAACTTTTCTTTCCCATCATGTAGTGGTTTGAACAACCAACAGCAACACAGTTCCTTGGTATTTACACTCAAAGAAACTAAACTCTCGGAAAAATTCAGCAATTATGTAAGCAAAACGCAGTGAGTTTTCGAATGAACGAGGGTTTGTTTTCACCAAGTGCTCGTTACTAGGGGCAGTTTGCCAGGCATTACCGAATCGGTCTATTGCTACAGTGAAAACAAACAGAAAACAAACACAACAGTTAGGATCATGGAGATGGATGTGCACTTACATGATACCAGTTGATTTTGGGGGAAGTGACCTAGTGGTTGGAAGTGTATTACAATTTGATTGAAATCCCTGGTGTGTTCAGTAGAGAAGCTGAGAAAAACAGGAAAAGCTTGGAAACACACAACGAGTTTGTAAATGATTGGTTTAAAACAGTGTATCATTTTTGTCTAAATGAGAAAGCCAACTTTATGCTGCTAAAAGCAAATGTCACACCTTCTCATGATATTGGGAGAGAAATCACAGTATGGATTACTAAAGAGGCTAAAGAGGCTTTTATTGTGACTGCACACTATTCCAGTATGGCTGGGCTTGGGAATCTTCCTCACTCATAGCATTACTGTGGTGACAAAATGCTAAAGCTACCAGTAACAAAATGACATCCACCGACATAAACATTCTTCCAAGCTGGATTCCATGGACTGTTTTCACGATTCTGCCTTTTGCAGACATTTATCCATTTCTGTCATAATTCAGGGTCATTATTTAGAAATCGAAAGAAGCCAGGTTTATTTTTCATCATGTTCCCTCCCAATATCTTGCTCATTATTGTCGTGGGAAGGCTTAGGAGACAGAGACTGAGGCCCAATGTAGGAGATTCCCCCTACCTTGGGCTTCAGTCCTCACCTCAACTAATTCTGGCTGGTCTTTTCTTCTTTCCAGTAAATGTATTTTCTGCAGGAAATCCATTGATTTCATCAATTCTTAGCGTTGTTTCTTCTGTGAATTAAACATTGAGGAGATCGAGTACCATTTCTCCATTAATGCGTAAAACCAGCACAAAAAAAAAATAAAAAAAAAAAATAATAAAATCAACCAATGAAACTCTACGGACGTACCTGCCATCTTTAACATTCTACTGGCTGATGAGCCAAAATTCAAAAACTGTACAAGAACCCAACCCACCTTTAGCCAAAATCTACGGAATTCACACATTCCAAACCCCCCAAAATACATACTGACCAATAAATCAAATTAATCTAACATTTTAAGTTGCCGTGACTAGGCGTGCCCTTCAAGCACTGCCCAAGGGGAGTGTTGATGGGGGGTTCTGCCACCCATCACCCCCCGCAATACATTCTCTTCACCTCAGTGTGTATGGCAATATAGAGCTGCATTTGCACTGTAAAATGATAGACCAAATACATTTTCATCTGGAAACACCAAACTTTCGTTCACTTCTTTCTACCGGCTGGATTGCTTCTTTCGTTTTTCTTCTTCTTCTTCTTCCTCTTCTTTCTTTCTTTCTTCTTTCTTTCTTTTTTTTCTTCTCTTTCTTTCTTTTTTTCTTTCTTTCTTTCTTTCTTTCTTTCTTTCTTTCTTTCTTTCTTTCTTTCTTACTTTCTTTCTTTTTTTGGGCATTTGGAACACTTGATGGGCTCAGGTATTAAACTAGGATGGTTACTAAAGTCAATTTCTTCTTCATTGCCACTGTATAGTCTTACTAATAACCCAGAATCAACGCAACTTTCCTCACTGGCGTTCTGCCACGAAGTGATCATCTCTGAACTGCCAAACCTTGCGGCGAGCAACTGAAAGTGTGAAATGCATGATATGCAGATAATTATAAATAAGTGTATAGATATATCTTAAAACAAGTAAATGAAGTATTATAACTTTAAAATCATAAATGTGTAACAGCAGACACTGAAAATTAGCCAAATATCGTTTTGACAAGCGCATAGTAACACATGAACTACTTTGGATATTGCAGTAATAAGTTATGTGGTCATTGTTGTGGTATTCCTGGCAAAGTAAATGAGATGAGGGACTTAAAATCTGAGCAGTGATATGCAGGGTATATTTTCATTATTTAGCTGTGACTATGAGGTTGCTGCAGCTTAAACTATGTTGTATCCTATTCTATTTGTTCCGCTCTAGAAGATGGCAGTGTCTTCTTTCCTCTATCTACGTGCGTTGCTATAAATAACTTGTACCCTTCTCCTCTTTACCTCTTCCATATCTTCTTCATCTCCTACTTCTATCCCATTCCTAAGGTATGGGGACCCTGAGGGTAGACAGTTTCTTTTCCCCTTTTTATTCAGGCTCACCATGGCCAATAACAAAGATTCTTTACCCTTAACAGGGGCATTAAGGCTTGCCCATTCACCAACTAGCCTATTTAAATTTGAATATGATGGTTTTCCGACCACTGATACAAATACCCCTTCTTCAACGCTTATGAACAACTCTAACCATTCCAAAACACCCACCCAGGTTATTACTCAACCTCCAGAAGGCAGCCCATCCTCTCTCACAACATTCTCCTCTCCATCTCCTATTGCACATTCCTCTTCAATGTCTACCACCTCTTCCCTTATTAATACTCTACCCCTCTCTTAATACTTGTAATGGAACTGTTTTTATCCCTGTTTTTATCAGACTGTGAAAATGCCTACTTACCTGGCTTGCTGAATATGATGCAGTTGCAGCACAGTGTTACAGTAGTTATCCCAGAGACCAGTGTAAGTCCCACATCAATATTTCCAAGATTAGCTTCCGTAGACATGACCTCCCCCATGAGGTTTATATTGGTGGATTGTCCTACCATGTCTGGGCATCCACCCAGAGAAACACTGAGACTCAACTTCAGGCAGGCTATCTGGGTAGGAGCTTGGATTATCCAGTCTTTATGGCAGGATGAACAGGTACCCCTGCTTTAGAAGGAACTGAAGGAGTTGGGAGTTGAGGTGGTTGCTCTCTCTGAGGTGAGAAGACCATAGATTGGTTATGGCAACCTTACAGGTCCACTTCAACCCCCGACCCCCCTGATCAGTTTACAGTGCTCAAAAACTATACAGACCCTGTAGGTCTCTGGGATTCCATTTAGCGTGAAACACTTGATACAGCACAGAAGTCCATTAGTGAATGCTGTAGGACAAGGCAGAATTTCATCTCACTAGTGACATTGGAAGCCACAGATGTGTCATGCATGGGTGGACTGAATGGCATTTGGGATTTGCGCCATTCCTTGGTGCTCAGGCCTCAGACACTACTAAGAAGGGACATTTCATCAGGAATCTTGCTAGGAGGTTGAAGGCCATTTCCTTGTTAATGACCTTCATCTTTCCTACCAAGCCCCAAGAAAACAACTCCAGGCCCCCCTTACTGATGACTGCAGTCAGATCATCTCAGATCATGCAGTTCGTGAACATTGTTGAGTATATTGAGCACCTGTATCACGTAGATCCTGCAACAGTTAGTTTGGATACTATTGATGTCACAGTCACAGTGTCAGACCCACCCATTAGTGAGGAACCTCCTACCTCAACTGAGGTCAGTAAGGCGATCTCCAAGCTGAAGAATGGGAAGGCTGCGAATATATGAGGTATCCCTGCTGCATTGTTAAAGGCTGGGGGTGAACCTATGGCACAGGGCTTGCATACAGTCCTGGCTACCATCTGACAGTCCAGTTCCATTCCCTTGGACCTGTTGAAGGGCATGGCCATCCCTCTGTAGAAGAGAAAAGGGGATTGTTGTGACTGTAGCAATTACCATGGCATCACACTACTCAGCATACCAGGCAGGGTTTTTGTTCACATCCTTCTGAAATGGATCCATGACCACCTACTAAGCCACCAGACTGGAGCAGTCTGGATTCACTCCTGATAATTCCACAACAGACTGTACTCTAGCACTTTGAGTAATTGTGGAACACTGGTGTGGTGTCAGCCATGGGCTGCTTGCAGCCTATATCGATCACAAGAAGGCATTTGAGTCTGTGGATTGTGAATTATTATGTGAGATCCTGAAACTCAGGGGAAATTCCAATATGCAAGCTTATATACTGGTATTGAAAGTGTTTTAAAGTTTAGTGGAGGCCTGTCCAGCTTCTTCCCTGTTAGTTCAGGAGTGAGGCAAGGCTGTGTCCTTGCGTTAACACTTTTCAACACTTACATGGACTGGACAAGGGGCAAAGGTAGTATCCAAAGTCACTGGAGAAATACTGGGCAATATAAAGGTCACAAACCTTGACTTTGCCGACGATGTTGCTATCCTATCTGAGTCTCTGGAATCTCTGGTGGTAGTGGCTTTGATGCATTCAGCAACGAGGCAAAACCCCTGGGCTTAGTGGTCTCCTAGGCCAAGGCCGAGATCCAGGAATTCAGGGGCCTGTTAGGGGATCCTGTTCTGTCAATACATGCATGCAGTGAAGGTGTAGAAGTCAGAGAGATGGTTACATACCTTGGTAATGCAGTCCATGTCTCTGGACTATCAGACCAGGAAGTCAGTAGATGGATTGGTCTGGCAGTTGGAGCCATGAACTATGTCAGCAAAAGCATTTTGAGTACCTATGTAGAAGGATTAAGTTATTTGTCTTTAAGGCCAGTTTTGCTCTATGGAAGTGAAACCTGAACACTATGTAGTGTCCTGGAGTCACATCTCAATACCTTTTGTAACAAGTCCTTACACTAAATCATAGGGTACAGTTGGCAGGACCATGTATCCAACCAATGGCTACACCATGAGACTGGCATTTGCATAATCCATGACCGCCAACTCAGGCTAAATGGGCACCTAGCTCATTTCCCAATGGATAACCCTGCCCATAAGGTTCTCTCTTCACAAGACAATCCAGTGTGGAGGAGGCGAGTGGGACAACCTAGGAGGTCATATCTTAGGCAGCTCAATCAGATCTGCCGTGAGGAGCTAGAAATGGGCCAAGGGCCCCTGTCGGCATCAATTCTGTTGATTGATTGATTGAATTTGTCAGTGGGAGCACAATCAGGTGATCTACAGTGAAATTGCTAAACTGATTTTAAAACATTATTTTTATTGTCTAAAAATGTCATAATATTGTCATATTATTTTGCTATCCAAATCTTTATATATACAAGAAAGAGAATCCTACGGTAGATTTTTTTTTTTTTTTTATGTTTTTCACAAAATGTTTCATCATAATATGATATAATTTTTTACTGATATTGGTATAAAAGTGTTCCATGAACATTCACGAACTCTCTCACGTCGGCTGCAAGACAACGAGCCAGAGCAGGCGCTTACTACTTGTTTGGTAGTTTCCTCATCCTTGTACCTATACTATACTATACATCTGGGATGGTCCCCTTAAAGTGAAAGTAAAACCAGAATCACACATCAAAGGCCACAGATTTATGGACAAGCAGCAGGGTCCAACCTTTTTACTTCCCCCTTCAGCAAGAGCAAACAAACCACTACTTTGTAAAGCTTAATGACCTTTCCTGTGATTTATACTTGAATAAGAAACCGAGCTTTATCCTTCTACATATAATTGGTGTGAGGGTTATTGACCTGCATAAGAGCTGGAAACATGGGAGGTTATTCTGAATTGTTACCTAATAATTGGGTCAGTACATATCATGAGCAGTCTATTGGAACCAGTTTCATTAGTATCAGCAATGCAGACTTTTTAATTATTCTGCTATTAGGAACACTTGCAGTGTAGCTATATGTAGTTGACTCAAAACATTTAAGAAGTGATTGCTTTCTTCACTCCCGCAGATAAATTTATAGAGCAGCCAGTATTATATTAAATTTCTGTATGTTATATAGTTTGTGTCTGTGGTTCTGATGTTTGCAGTGACCTTAAAGTTGTTATGCATTGAGTGTTTTTTATGGGATTTTTCCTTTATGATTTTAAGATGTAGATTCCATCCAGGGCCACTTGTAATTTGTAATGGATGCTTTAAGGTAAAATTTCCTTATACATCCATAGTGCTGGTGAGACTACATGGCTTTGTCAATTCAGGAAAAACCAGTATGCTTTCAGCACATACGAATAGGCAAGATAAAGCTTTGATTGATTCCTTATTTGATCATAAGTCACTAAGGAGACCTGCCAGATTAAAGCTACATGGTGAAGATGCATTAAATTCTACATACGTAGTTTTAGCTAGACTTCTAGAACACTTTACTACCATTCCAGTATTAGTTAGTATGCTTCATTATACAAGAAAGGGAGAACTTTTAGGATAGAAATTGCCTACCATAGAATTTAGGCTTCTGAGATATATTTTTTTGTACTATTTGTCAAGAAAAGTAGATATAAGGTGTAACTTCTTAAAATTACTTCCAGATAACATATATAAACTGCATTTTATGCATTATTTAACACATTGGTTCAAGTATACAAGAGGACCCCACCAACCAGGGAGATATGGCATTTGGTAGGGGGTTCAGGGGTAAAGCCTCCTGAGTAGGAAATTTTTTGATTAATATAGCTAACTTTATGGTAATATCTGTTTGGAATGGGGTTAGTCTTTGATGTTGGAAGTCCTGTTGTAGAGTTTTGCCAAATATACTAAAGGACTGTACAAGCTGGGGAGAAATGGTAATTAGGAGGGTGTCCAATTACACAATGAGTAGTAGGAGGTTTAAGAAATTTTTGATGCATACAGAGATGTTTGTGGTAGTATGTGTGTTTAGGATAGGGTTCTTTCATTCATTCATTCATTCAAGTTGGGGACTTAGTCTGTGGCAGGTGCAGTCCTATTGTAAACTTTTACCCATTATATTCCTAGAATGTTATAACAGTTACGAAAAGACTGGTATTCTATAACATTTTATCTCCCCCTTTGGTAGCTGTTAAGCAGCAGTTGCCACAGGATAAGGCTGAAAGAGTTGCTCCGCATCATCTGATCACAAAAAAACGTTCTGCAGAAAATGGAGACAACCAGCAACCAAAGAAGAGTAAGCGGGATTTGGGGGTAACCAAGTTTTATATTGATTCTTCTATATTAAGAGACAAACTGGATGTGGTCCTAATGGTTCAAATGGAACTAATTGTGTTATAACATTTAACAAAAGATTGGTATTCCATAACATTTCATCTCTTTTGCTAGCTGTTAAGCAGCAGTTGCCACAGGATAAGACTGAAAGAGTTGCTCCGCCTCAGCCACAGGATAAGACTGAAAGAGTTGCTCGGCCTCAGCCACAGAATAAGACTGAAAGAGTTGCTCGGCCTCAGCCACAGGATAAGACTGAAAGAGTTGCTCAGCCTCAGCCTGTTGACAAAAAATGTCCTGCTGAAAATGGAGATGGCCAGAAACCAAAGAAAAGTAAGTAAATCTTCTCTCTCTCTCTCTCTCTCTCTCTCTCTCTCTCTCTCTCTCTCTCTCTCTCTCTCTCTCTCTTCTCTCTCTCTCTCTCTCTCTCTCTCTCTCTCTCTCTCTTTTTAAGGGGGGGGGGGTAACATTGAAGTTTTATATTGATGCATTTCATATGAATAACAAGTATGGCAGAGGCAAGACTGGTTGCATGTGGAAAATTAGTGGCATTCGTAGGGGTCATAGTAACTGCCTGTACAAGTGAATGTGGTTTGTTTTTATGAGATTTCATCAGACTTTTGTTTTTTGAAAATCTGCATATAATTTTAACCCAATGCCACCGGGTAAAAAAGTTTGGCAAGTAGACATAATAACAGGATTGTTGGCTCGCATCGGCAGTTTCCCCTGTTTGCGCCCGGCTCATTCAGTAGTTTGCAAGCGACATTTAGCACCTAAAAGCTTTTATTTTCTAATAATTTATGAAAATATTATAAATTTGAAGGTTTACCTTCATTATAAGTGCTATTGCCTAAAATCTTTACCATATGGATGATGCCGCTACTATCGGAGAAAAACAAACTCTGTCTAATGAGCCAATGGCGCGGGAATGGTCACGATACAATGCCATCCGTTTTTCAGTCCACAACAGCCATGGCATTGTTCGTACATGCCACCCAGTGACTAGTCGTTAATATGTATCACTTTTTTAATAAAGTTTGTGGATACAGAAATAAACAAAGTCAAAATTTGGGGCCTAACATATTCAGGGTACAGTATTGGAATGAAGTTTGTTATATCATTTTTATTAATAAGATTGGTAGTTAATGAGTTACTGATGCCTCAAAGCCTATGAAAGTTCACTTCAAATATTTAACTTTTGTAGGTTTAGGGGGAGGGGGATTCAGTCCTCTTAGGATACCTCAAAAATCTTCAGGGGAGAAGTATGATTAAATAGTCTGCATCCCTACTTGAATACATGTAATTATCTCTGAGTGTTATCTTTTTATAGGCCTCTAAATTTTACTTTGTCGGTCTACCTCGGTGACAATATTTTTAAGTTGAGATTATGACAATGATTGATATGGTGTGTCCTTAGGGAGAAAGATGAATGAAAGTAATTTGTATGGTATGACACATGCATGTTAGCATATATATTGAAGTACATGTTCTAGGTGTATTTGTAAGCCACATTATATACAATTTTTTTTTTTCTCTCTCTCTCTCTGCCGTGTACTTTGAATTTGAAGGGAAACCAAGAAAGAAGAAACTTGGAGGAGACATTACAGAAGCAAAACAAAATATAGATGTTAAGAAGAAAGAGACTGAAAAAACTAAAGCAGGAGAGACAAAAAGTAATCCAGGAGAAAGAAGAAGTAATACAGGAGAAACAAAAACTGTGGTAACAGGAGAAAAAGGAGAATTAGTAAAAAAGCGTGAGTATCCAAATGTAGTTAATTATCATATGATATTAGTTATTTTCTTCTTGAAAGCAAGATTTCCAGATTATAGCAGATATTGTGTATTTTGATTTTAACAGGACCATAACTAGTTTCTTTACTTTCAAATAGGGAAGAAGATTTTTAAGAAGAAAAAGAAGCCTAAAGAAAACCAAAGCACAGTTGAGAAGATAGATAACCAAAGCACAGTTGAGCTGATAGATAACAGTAACTTTGATTTTGGAAACTCGGAAAGATCGTTCAAGAACCTTGAGGGAAGTATATCACCCAAAACACTAAGAGTCCTGCAGCAATTAGGCTTCAAGGAGATGACAGAGATTCAAGCAAAGGCAATCCCTAAGCTTCTTCAAGGACTAGACCTGCGAGGGACAGCCAAGACTGGATCTGGAAAGACCTTGGCCTTTACCATCCCAGTGATCGAGTTGATGAGCAAACTGAACTTCATGCCCAGTCAAGGTAAGTTGTGAAGATTGTAACTTGGTGCAAAATTTTTGGTTCGCAAAACAAACTAAGTTCAGAGAACTATGCATTGTCAGGATTTTGAAACAGATTGTGGATTTTGAAAATGTTTTAGACTTTGGTATATTGGATATCATGTTTTCGAATAGCAATTTCACTTTGTGATATTAGAATTTGAAGTTGTTTACAACTATTTTATATCATGCTATAATAGAAAACTATTGCAATGATAAAATTGAACCTGAAATAAAGAGGAGGAATATTCCTATAGGTACTGGAGTTGTCATCCTCTCTCCAACTCGTGAGTTGTCTATACAGACACGTGATGTTTTGGCGCCCTTCGCTAAGGCACACTCATTGACGATGGAGTTGATTATAGGTGGTACCAATATGAAAACTGAAGCTGCAAAATTACGGCAAGGTAAGATCTGATATGTGCTTTGAATGTTAGATATTGTTCTGTTAACCCTTTCCCTGATGCGTGCATCATTCGATGACTGCACTGAGGGCTTCCAAGCAGATACGTTCATCGTTTGTCATTATTTGTACGACCGTGACAAAATTCTTCTATAAAACCTAGCTCATTTACTGGATTGTAGCATGGCCTTGCATGGATAAAGCCCTTGTTGTAGGGAACAACATCATTATGTTTTTTATATATCGATCAATATATTTCAAAATATATTAGAAAAACTCACATAAAGAATAAGCAGTACGATTACCGTTTCATTTCGTAAGATTTGGCAATTAATGATGAGTCAATTACTAGATTTTTATCATTTATTTCTCATTACTTATTGTCTAGTATTGATATTAACATCATGACCCCAGTGTCAATATTGTCAACAATAATGATATTGATAGCATTAGAGAAAATAAAAAGTCCCTGAAAACTTAAGGACTGGAGGAATAAGGTCAGTTCTGGTAGGCCTACCAAATGACTCCTTGGTGTTTAAGCACTTGTGGGAACATCTCTGTGTAAAGAAAATTCACAAAACAAAACCACATTGGACTATGCAATTACTCGACCCTAGTAGGTTTAAGTAAAATAAAATTATATAAAAAAAACTTGTCAGCAAGGAATGAATAGAGAAGGACTATGCTCATGATCAGATTTTTTTACACATTAAACTTTTACAGGTGTGAATATTATAGTTGCTACACCAGGAAGGTTCCTTGATCACCTCAGATCGACTAAAGACTTCATCTTCAAAAACATGGCTTGTCTTGTTCTTGACGAGGCAGATCGTATTCTTGATACAGGATTTGAGCATGATCTCAAAAAAATCTTACAACATCTACCAAGTCTGTATCATTTTTTACTTTATATTTATGAAATATTGAAATTTAATGTTTATGATGGTCTTTTTATCTTTAGAGGTACAGCCCCCTCCACTTCAAAGGAACTGGCAGTTTTGATGACTGTATCCAAAATGCATCCCCATACTGGTGTTGGCATATGTTTTGAATATAGGAGTAAAATCTTACTTCACATATTCGCAGAACTATGTGGTGAATTTTGAAATGGAGGGGACTGTATATAGATACTCTGGACATGTACATTGAATTGTAGATATAGTGCCTTTAGTTACTATGTCCAGTACAGTGCATTCCATTTTTTAAACAGGCGAACGTCAGACGATTTTGTTCAGCGCAACAAAAGATACCAAGACAAATGCTTTAGCCCCTCTTGCTCTTAAGGCCAATCCTGTAGAAGTTGATGTAGACTCAGACAAAAATGAAGCAACAGTGGATGGCTTAGAACAGGGTAAGTATAGAACTAGCTTTTATTGTTATTATTATTTTTATTATTATTTTTTTTTTTTCCATCATTATCATACATTCTACAAAAAAAATTAATCAATACTCAAAAAGTTATTGCAATCAATCCTCACTTGTGTAAAAAAATGAGAGAAAAAACTAAAGGCTTTGTAAATAGAACATTTAAAGTGAGAAGTATAGGATTAGCATCTAACAGCAGATGAATTTCTGGAATCAAAATAAAAGCAATGTTAAGAAGGAGGTTTTGAATCCAACAGTAATATTTTAATCATGAAGAGTTAATGTGATGATGTTAAAAATCCCCATTTTTTTGTATACTGGTTTTACCCCCTTTATTTTTCCAAGGCTAGATAGAGTTTTCATGAAGTATATCTTTTATTACAGCTTATGTGGTGTGTCCTATTGAGAAGAGGGTTTCCCTTCTCTGTAGACTTATTAAAGAGAATCAGGACAAAAAAGTCATGATTTTCCTTAACAGCGTCTGGAATGTCAAGTATTACCACCACATCCTTAACTGCTTGGAAGTTCCTGTTTCCCTACTCCATGTACGTTTTATGGAAAAAGATTTTCTAGTATTTAAGATCTTTTTTTTTTTTCTTTCTTTCTTTCTTTCTTTCTTTCTTTTTCTTTTTTTATTGGCTGCTATTGTTGTTTTGATATACTCTTCTTTTCTTTTTCTTTTTTATTGCTTATTATATAATTACCAGAGTAATGCAATTGTTAGAAATTATATGGGTGCTTTGTCATCCTAATAAAATCTAGCTTAAACTAAGTGGTAATTATAAACAAAAATTCAGTGTCTGTGATTTCTAATCACCTAGATGTGTAATCACTCATAAATCAATGTCATCATTTGGTATTGGGTAAATTAGGTCTCCTTAACTTCCCCAATTTCAGTTTTCTCTTCTCATAATAATAATGGCTATAACTCCAGATTCCTTTTTTTATTTTATTTTTTTTTCTATCCTTTAGGGGAGGCTGTCGCAAAATAAACGAACTGATGGATTCTTCACTTTCAAAAATCAAACAAAAGGTACACTTTTGTGCACAGATGTGGGTGCGAGAGGCTGGGACATTAAAGGCATCGACTTGATAATCCAGTTTGATCCTCCCTCCGACCCCATGTAAGTGTATTCTGTGGTCTAGATTTTTCATTATCATTATCTAGCGCCATTCTGAAATATGTGCTCAATTCTATTTATAGTGTAAAATGTGTGTGTGTGTGTGTGTGTGTGGTGTGTGTGTGTGTGTGTGTGTTGTGTGTGTGTGTGTGTGTGTGTGTTGTGTGTTGTGTGTGTGTGTGTGTGTGTGTGTGTGTGTGTGTGTGTGTGTGTGTGTGTGTGTGTGTGTGTGTGTGTTGTGTGTGTGTGTGTGTGTGTGTGTGTGTGTGTGTGTGTGTGTGTGTGTGTGTGTGTGTGTGTGTGATGAAACACCAGTTCCCCTCAATAACTCCACACATAAAATTAATCATTATTGCTAAAGAAAATATTCAGCATTCTTTGTTTTGTTTTTTTCTAACTATATAACATCAAAAAATATGTACTTTAACAGGGAGTACATTCACCGGGTTGGAAGAACGGCCAGAGCTGGAGACAGTGGCAGTGCTATACTGTTTCTTCAACCACATGAAACTAATTTCATTTCTTATATGAAGTCTCACAGTGTTACTCTTCCTCACATGGATATTTCATGGAGAGAAGTAGAAGAACTTCAGGTGAGAATCAAGCTGCTTATTTTGGTTATTGTTCTATTTTGGATTGGGGACGTCTTTGAATAACATGTTTTGTTCTACCCTTTTCATATTCTTATTCGTATTATTTACAAAATTCCCGTTCTGTTTTTTCCCCAACAGACTTAGCAGCAATAGCATTATATCTCAATTTTCTCTTTGCCTTAAGGAATAGTTATATTTACAATTTTGGTTAATTTATAGCTGGTTTGCAGCTAATTCAAATGAAATTTTATAACACTATAAACCTACAATTTGGTTTTCATTCACTTTTCAATTATATATTCCAGTTGCAAATTGATGATGTATTATTATCCATCTTAATTGTTTACTCTTTTCCTTGATTTTTGGAAATATTCTCTTATCTTATATTGTTATTTGTAATGTAATAACATTATTAAGGTTATAAATATCAGTAGTAATAGTTGCAGCATCAATATTAATAGCATAAGTATAAAAAACATTTTTCCCAAAAACTCAAGGAAAGGTGAAATCAGATAAGGTCACAATGTCTACTAATATATTCCTTGTTGGTTGAGCACTTGTGGAGTCGTCTGTGTGTAGAAACATTTCACAAAACAATGCTAGAGCAAACACTACACTTTTTTGCAGCTAATTTGTATATGTTTGCAATCAGATATTCATTCTTTTCAATCATATTCTGGTAGCAAATTATCTCTTATTCTACAGTTCATTCGTTAGCACCTTGCCTACAAGCAGCACACCCGGTAGTGTCCACTCACATAAGCCTAATACCCATATTTTGGGCCACATTATGGCAGTGAAGCATCTGGATCCAATAGGCTAATGCAATACTCTTGGTTCACTGCTGTACCAAACAAGTTTGTTTTGCCTTGTGTTGGTGCACCCATGGCCAAACCATGTATTTTAATAACTTTACAAATTAATTTATACAATGTGCTCTACAAAGCATCATCTTTGTATAAGGCTTGATAAGCCAGTAACTTGATTATGTTTAAAATCCTATCAGTCACAAGGAAGGTGACTACAGCCCTTTCCTGCAAAAGCTATGTGCCAACAATCCTAAAAGAGAATGGAAATATTGTAGTGAAATACTGACAATGCAGTATTTTGTTTCAGGTGGAGGAGTTAAACCAGCACGATGAACACCTCTCCAATATGGGAAAGAAGGCTTACCGTGCTTTTCTACGATCATACATGGCTCTTCCTCTGAAGTCTATCTTTGACCCTAGTAAACTTGATACATTAAGGGTAAGGAAGATTAGAATGTCTCATGTTTGTGAGTTCATATAGAGAGGTTCAGCACCCACGTCCATGATTATATTATAGATATTTGATTTTTTTCAGTTTATAGGTTAGTAAATGAGAATCTGATTTTGTCTGTATTTTAATGGAATTTTGTTTCTCTTGATCACAGGTCGCTAGAGCATATGGCTTCAATAAAGAACCACTGAAAGTGCGTTTATTTAGAAAGGAAAAGCGCAAATGAAAGTGGTGATTTTTAGGTTATAATGCATTTGTCTTATTTTAAAAGGTTTTCTTTTGTTCTCTACTTATTTAAGTTTTTTTTACCTCTTTTCTTTTCATTTCTCTTTTATCTTTTCTCTTCTCTTGCATTTTCTATGCTTTTCTATTTCGTTTTCTGTTTTCTCCTCTTCTGTTTTCTCTTCACATTTTTCTTCTTTGCTTTCCTTTTCTCTTCACATTTTTCTTCATTGCTCTCCTTTTCTCTTTTCTTATGTTTTCTCATTTTTCTTTTTTCTTTTCCTATCTCTCTTCTTTTCTTGTTTCTTTTCTCATTTCTTTTTTATTTTCTCATTTCTTCTGCATTCTCTTTTTTCTCATTTCTGATCTTTTCTCTTTTCTTTTCTAATTTCTCATCCTTTGTCTTTTCTTTTCTCATTTCTCTTTTTCTTATTTCTCTTTTTCTCTCATTTCTCCTCCTTTTTCTTTCTCGTTTTCTCACATTACTTCTCCTTTCTCTTTTCTTTTCCTATATCTCTTCCTTTCTCTTTTCTTTTCTCATTTCTCTTCCTTTCTCTTCTCTCAATTCTCTTTTCCTTTTTCCTTTCTCTCTGTTTTTCTTTTCTCTTTTAATTTCTCTTCCTTTCCCTTTTCTCTTTTCTCTCTTTTTCTTTTATCTTCAACCATTTGCCCAGAAATGCATTCATAAGAGGAGTTGTTGCTTTAGAATTTCACACATAACACCAGCATTGATGTATAGACTATAATGCACTACAGTCTAATGACTGGAGTGCATTAGCATGAATATATTGATGTCAGCGTTATAGATGAAAGTTAAAACTAGCAAAACATTTTATAAATGTTTTTTTTTTTTTTTTTTTTTTTTTTTTTTTTTTTTTTTTTTTTTTTTTTGGCATTTGGTCTTAGAACAACTTTGGACACGCATACTCTCATTTGAGTTGGAGTATCAGTTATTCTTTATAATTTCCAGTTTTATGTTACTTTTCATGTCACTGTCAGGTAAAGTGACACATTCTATATATATATATATATATATATATATATATATATATATATATATATATATATATATATATATATATATATATATATATCATTGTTATGAGCAGGTTGTACTGTTACGATTAATCTTGTGCAGAATAGTGAGTGTCATCACTAAAGTGGTCATTTTAATTTTTTCTTTCTTTCTTCCTCTCTTCCTTTATTTATTTTTTTTTTTTTTTTTTGTCAGACATTGACGCAGTCTTAGATATGAGAGCAGAGATTCAATAACAGTACAATCTGTGCTTCAAGGGATCATTAAACATTTTATATGGATGCAATGAATTTAAAATGTATAGATCTTTTCATAACATTAAAGAATATAGGAATTTTGTTGTTTTTTCCATGTATCCCCGAGTTAAGATATTGTTGCATAAAAGGTATATTTAGGTTCATGAAATTGCTGCGTTTGTATAGCATTCCACTATCATGTTCCAATAGTTATGGAAATTAGTAATAATATTAACCTGCGACAGTGGAGAAGTTGGTGACTGTCTACCAAGCTTACAGTTTGTCTGGAAAATAAGGAATAAAACATGCATAACTTGCATAAAACATTCCACATAAAGCAGATTTAAACTAATAATTATTCATATTTGACAATTTAGAAATTTTGAAGATAAATCTATTTATATATAATAATGGAAATAACACACCTAGTACTTAAAATTGTAACTTGATTGGATACAGAATTTGTATCACTCCATTTATTCATGTTATGGATGCCTGCAGTTTATAACCAGACCTTTTCCATATGATAATAGTAATTGGGAAGATAAACATTTGAATTATTTGAAAGGATAAGCATTTTTAAGATTCTAAGAAACATAAAGCATATATGACATTCTGGTTGCAGTCAAGGTGATTTGCTCAATTTTAGCTTATTTTTTCTAGCATGTACATTGAACAAAGGTACCAAGTCAAGCAGAATTATCATTTTCAATTGGGACAATATTCTGTAAAGGTATGTCTCATTTTATTGTTTTTTCTTCAGATATACAAGTAGATATTTCTCTGAAAAGTTGATAAATGCATTAAACTATGGAGACAACTAATCTGAACTAGATAAAACCCTTTATTCTTTTTCTTTTTTCTTTTTGACAATTCGATTTTGAAATGGAAAACTTTGAATGGCAATATCAGTAGATAATCATCCTAGTCATAAATTCCTAGCATGAATACAACATGGCGATTCAATTTTGAGAATTTTAAAAGCTTATGTATGAAGTACATACATTTGAGACATGCCAAAGAATTTGAATTTTTCCTATGCTCCACAGAGGGAGATGGTCACTGGGTGTTTATAATTTTCAGGAGGATCATATGTATGTAAACACATGGACATAAGATCAACCATTTTAATCATCCTCATTTAGTAGGCCTACATCGACTTTTATATGTAAAGGAATAAAATATATTAGTTATCCCTATCACTGTTTTCTTTAACAATTTTCAAAAGAAACAGTTTTCAACAAGAAACGAGTGTACAGTTGGTGATTAGTCATTTGCACCCATAAAATCATCAGAGCCTTGGTGTGGTTGGATATTTGCGTATTTATAGTACCTAAGACCTACGGTAATATCTACAGTAATATTTTTTATCAGAAACGCACGGAGAGAGTGATAACTGTTTCAACTCTAGATGGAGACAGCTCATGCAAACGAGCTCAAAATTACACAGTTTTTATTTCAGAACAGGTATTACTGTGTACTATCATCTTTCACGCGAAATATTCGGTATCTCGCTCATATCTCTGAAGTTCAAAGATCAGACTTCTAGTTGCTCTTTAGAGTGGAAACAACCAATTTCAAATCAAATCAAATTTACCGATGCTGGGGAGTACCTACGGTTGACCGAAGTCAAAACGAAATTTAACCATTATTCTCATTTCTGTTTTCAAACATTACTGCTCCGTATTCGGTATCCATACAGATCCCTTCGTATTACCAGGGAGCCTCGATGGAAAGCATATTCCATGTGTAAAAGTACACAAAACTCATGTGTGTGCGTGTGCGCGTGTGTGTGTGTGTGTGTGTGTGTGTGTGTGTGTGTGTGTGTGTGTGTGTGTGTGTGTGTGTGTGTGTGTGTGTGTGTGTGTGTGTGTGTGTGTGTGTGTGTGTGTGTGCGTGTGCCGTGCGTGCGTGCGTGCGTGCGTGCGTGCGTGCGTGTGCGTGCGTGCGTGCGTGCGTGTGTGTGTTTGTTTGTTTTGACTTCACAATTTCGACATAAATCACTGATATTTTTTTCTGATATTGATGTAAAAGTGTTCTTTGAACATTCATATCTATGCGCAATGTCATTATCAAATGCCGTACGTAAGATTGCAACAAGCATAAGTCAACATGAGTGTACCCGGGCACATATTAGCAGTGTACCTCCCCACATCTTTACGTGCTTCGTGTGCACCGCCCAAGAACTAACCGGAGCTGGGCTTTAATAGTCGTTTGGTAGTTTCCTCATTCTTTTACTTATACAATACGCTAGCTAACTCAATTTGAACCCAAATTTTTCAGCCTCCCACCCCTCGCCCACGCTTCCAGGGACGGTTCCCTTAACAGAACAGTGGCTAATATCAACGCGCCATAAAATCATTTCTAGACTAATGTTCTACAATCATTTCATAGAGTTTTTCGAGGCACAAAATATGGAATATATAAACTACCCATTACGCTCTATTTAGTGTCGTTTGTTTACCATATACGAGGCGTTGAGAATGGGAGAGTCGAATTCACCAAAATCGTTTTGAGATGAATGGGTTTATAGTTTGCGTTTCATCCTGACCTTGAGCTTTACATCATATTTATAACTATTGATAGACCATTTCTTACCGCAAGATAGAGCAGATTTCAGGGGGAAAACCGGGTGCAAGAATCACAATATTGTTAAGGCGGCAAATCTCTCCCACTCCCAGTGCTTGCTTCATATTTGCTAGACAAAAGAAATTACAAATAGGCTGCATTCGAACATATCCTGACTTTGACTGGAATGCTATTTATGTTTGAAATTTTTAACATTTCTAAATTGCATATACACTAAAACATCCAACATTTTATGCATCCGCTTTTTAACATTATCACACAAAACAAATGTATAGAAACTGATGTGAGTAAAACAGCAAACTTAATATATCAGCTTTTGAGCAGCTTTGAAGTAATGTTATTAATACATAAGGCAAAGATTTACCATGGCACTTAAAACTAGTCTTCACGTTGGCAAACAGCCAATCACATGTCTTGAAGATATGAATTACAGCTAAAAGCAATTGATTATGCAAATGTAAAATCATTACCAACCTAAGAATACATTTTGGTACCTGTAATATGATTTATTGTCAAGGTTTGCCTGTATCCACAGATGAAAACTGTTGTCCAAATAACACCACCAGCCTTGTGAATTTAAATATCTTTTACCATATAGCCCCCTCCCAATACCTTGCTCGTTGGTGTCGTGGGGGAACTTAGGAGACGGAGACTGGAGCCCAACGTAGGAATTGCCCCCCCCCCCCCCCCATCTTCTGTCCAAGGTGTGGAAGCCGTGCTGAAAGGATGAAAGGCTGGCTTTCATTCATTCATGATCAGCCTTCGGAAGCCATGGGCACGGTATTCCCTTGGTTAATTGCCTAGCCCTTAACCCTTATGGGGACCCTGAGGGGTAGACCGTTTCTTTTCCCAATTTTATTCAGGGTCACCATGGCTAATAATGAAGATTCTTTATCCTTAATAGGAGCATTAAGGCTTACCCCTTCATAAACTAGCCCATCTGATTTCAATTTTTATGGTTTTCCGACCCCTGCCTCTCCTTTGACCACAGCTCCAACCATATACTAATACCCCCTACTCGACGTTAACTGACAACCCTTATCCATTTTGAACTACCCACCCGGGTTATTACTCAACCTAGAATGCACACCTTCCTCTCTCCCAACATTATATTCTCCATTTCTTACTGCACAGTCTTGATCAATGGCTACCCCCTCTTCCTACACTTTATCCTTATTGCCCCCCCCCCCCCACAGACCTACTCCACTCTACACACCCCCATCTTCTTCCGCCCTCGTCCTTCTATTGCCTCAACCACTGCAAACTTTTTGAGTACTGTCTTTGGCCCAGCCAAGGGGGTCGA